ACTTATGAGACACTAAGATAGGATCAAGTGTTGGAAAGTCTCAAAACAAGAAACACAACGAGTGAACATTTATTGACCAACCTAGCAATAAGACTTATGAGACACTAAGATAGGATCAAGTGTTGGAAAGTCTGAAAACAAGAAACACAACGAGTGAACATTTATTGACCAACCTAGCAATAAGACTTATGAGACAATAAGATAGGATCAAGTGTTGGAAAGTCTCAAAACAAGAAACACAACGAGCGAACATTTATTGACCAACCTAGCAATAAGCTTTATCAGACACTAAAATAGCTCTAATGAAGATAAAATATAGCAGTAAAAGCAGTATCATTAAAGATTTTTAAAACTTTTCCAGTGTCCCGAAAAATGGAAAACAGCAAGCCTGTGAAAAAGGAGCTATCCCAGTCCTAACTGATCTACTGAAAGAAGAAAATCAAGATATAAAGGCAATGGCACTCGGAGCTTTAATGCTGTAAGTATTTATTTTGGACCAGTAGAGTAAACACCTGGAATCTCCATGACTGAATATAACACCTTCCTCTCCACAATAAACACCTACAATCTTCATGACTGAATATAACACCTTCCTCTCCACAATAAACACCTGTAATTTCCATGACTAAATATAACACCTTCCTCTCCACAATAAACACCTACAATCTTCATGACTGAATATAACGCCTTCCTCTCCACAATAAACACCTACAATCTTTATGACTGAATATAACACCATCCTCTCCACAGTAAACACCTACAATCTTCATGACTGAATATAACACCATCCTCTCCACAATAAACACCTGTAATCTCCATGACTAAATATAACACCTTCCTCTCCACAATAAACACCTGTAATCTCCATGACTAAATATAACACCTTCCTCTCCACAATAAACACCTGTAATCTCCATGACTAAATATAACACCATCCCATCCACAGCAAACACATGTACTCTCCATAACTGAAGGTGATGCCTTGTTACTGATAAAAGGATAAACTTGTATAATCCTACTAGTGAAAGTAACACAGATGGATGAAAATGTTAAATGGATAACAGAAATGTTTTTGTGACATTCTGAATTACACCTTAAATGACATTTATGAAAGTGTTTAAAAGGAAATATTCATTTTTTGTACAGAGAGATGAAACTTGTATATCTTGTAAATTGTGATAATCATGGAAGCATGAAAACACTGGTTATTTATTAATGTTGAAACTAATACCATGCATTTAAATCTGTTAGTACCATCCAGCAAGTGGCTTAAGAAAACCATATTGTTTAAAAGGTTTATATATATTTATTATTTTTTTCTGTTGTAGGATTACGGTGATTGCTAAAGGTAAAATCCTTGCTCTTGAGGCTGACATTATTTCTCGACTTCTCCCTCTTCTTCATTTCCCCAGTCCTAATGTCTGCAAGCACTGTTTGAAGGTACCCTAACATAATACGGACTTTAACTTATAATGATGGAATATGATTGTTACAACAATCTCACTCCTAGTTTTAGGGCTAAATTACTCATTCATCATTCTTTCCTTACATTTACCATCCTTATAGAGATGGATTAACATTTCCATATTTTAACAATCTTTTTACCCTGAGTCATATGGTTTAAGAAAGTAAACAATTAATTGTTGGTTTTTCCACAGTTTACCATGCCTAAAAAACTGTAGTCTAATTTCTCTAGGTTTTGACAATGATTGCCGAAACTCCAACGGGAAAAAACCTTTTAGGAGCAGAAGTATACAAGGTTAGATTATTTTACTAACACTGAATATTAACATTACAATTAATTTGATGACGAGAAACCCACTTTGAGACTAATAATGGTTGGAAATGGCTTCAATAGGTAATGAAGAAAAACTTTAATATAAGTTTAACATAACAGCAAGTGTACAACGTTTCAACAAGGTTTTTGTACCTGATCATGACAAAACCTTGTTGAAACGTTGTACATTTGCTGTTATGTTAAACTTATATTAGTTTTTCTTCGTTCAAGCCGTCTCCAAACATTATTAACATTACATTTAGTCTGATGATATTTAGTTTTTTGTCACCAATTTTCTGTGCCCAAGCCAAACAAAATCCAAATACATAATTATAAAAAGTATACATTTTTTTTTCTAACCACCGGCATTTAGTTTGGTTATCAGACATAGGGTAAAATAGATATGGTTATGAATTTTAATCCATATTTTAGTGTTAATCATAATACACAAAACGTAATTAAAAACCTTTTCTAAAACTCAGAAAAAGCACAAACATACCTTATTCCACACATAACATGAATAATTAAACTTATCTGGCACCCTTTTAAATGGATTGTAAATTTTGTTTTTTTCATGTTACAGATTGAAGCCTTAATGGACAATTCTACAGATGACATAAAAGCTACTGCCAAAAAAACAATAGATGTAATTACATGGAAACCATAATTTGGAATTTAACGGATAAAAAAAAAATGTATAGGTGATTACATAGAAATCTTTAATTGAAGATTTACTGAAAACCAACAACAACTGTATATGTGATTAAATTGAAGATTTGTTGAAAGTATAGATATGTAAAGAAACGTTAATTTGATGTGCTTCTGTTAATTGTAAATTAATTTATGAGACCCAACTACTGGAGTTGCTTTAATAAATTTTAATTTAACAAGATGGTTCATAGTTTGTTGTTTTTAATACATTCTATCACATGAATAAAGTATCTCTGATGTGAACTTCACAGATGGAAAGAAGCAAGTACCATATCCAATGGCAAACTGAAACACCAGCTAGCTACTGTTAGCACTGAAGACAAAAAAAGGAACTGTCTATAACTGAGTTAAATTCATGCTGTGTAAGTGGTCACTAAAGGAAATTAAAAAGCACAGAAAGAGAAGATTTTTGGGAACTTGCCCCAGTATGGTACATAACCATAAAGTTACTGGACATTGGCTGTATATAGCTTTATGTATTCATTTCTTGTACTGTAGTCCTTCACGTCAGGCCTCAGTTGAAAATTTATAAATCTAAACAACAGAGAAAACAGTTTATAAACTATTATATTTTACTCACAATACAAGAAACTCAAGTTTTAAAAACAAGCTTCTTCGTATGCACTGGAAAACAAAATGACTTTTATTGGATGTTCCATAGGGATACAGTCACTAAAAGAACTGTATATCATTTTACTAGTAAACAGTATAAACATTTAAATTGTTACCTAAACTTTATATTACAGTTTATATTTGTTTACATATTCATATCATATATTATGTGGTTTTAAAGTTTCTAAAACTATGAGAAACCAAATATTTACCAAAGCAGACATTACTTACAAATTCAGCATTTACACCTCAGAAAACCTCTTTCAACTTAAAATAAGTTACAAATCAACATATTAAATGATTTTGTTGTACCCCATAACCTTTTAACAAAAGTGAAACTTGTATTCTTAAGTCTGTGATCATGGACCAGTTCTGTGACATGCACCATCAACATCAGATATCTTCATGTGTTACTAAAGAAAATATTTTTATTTCATGAATAGTTTATGAGGTATAGCTTAATTTGTTCTTGTGTGTATGTAATATATATATATATATATATATTCAACAATAATGGTCAAACAAGATTTGACTGTACAGAGAGAAACAAGCACGTGAATCATATATAACAGTCTGCATGTTATTCAGTCAATCTGTGAACAAACAAGCACATGAATCATATACAACAGTCTACATGTTCTTCAATCAATCATGTGAACAAACAAGCACATGAATCATATACAACAGTCTGCATGTACTTCAGTCAATCACGTGAAGAAACAAGCACATGAGTCATATACAACAGACAGTCTGCATGTTCTTCAGTCAATCATGTGAACAAACAAGCACAGGATTCATATATATATAACAGACAGTCTGCATGTTCTTCAATCAATCATGTGAACAAACAAGCACAGGATTCATATACAACAGTCTGCATGTACTTCGGTCAATCATGTGAAGAAACAAGCACATGAATCATATACAACAGACAGTCTGCATGTACTTCGGTCAATCACGTGAACAAACAAGCACAGGATTCATATACAACAGACAGTCTGCATGTTCTTCAGTCAATCATGTGAACAAACAAGCACAGGATTCATATATATATATATAACAGACAGTCTGCATGTTCTTCAATCAATCAT